ATTTGTTTCATCTCCATATCGCAGGGGCCGAGTGTCGGGTGTGCCCAACGAGCTGAGGCATGCGTCTGCTGACGCCGGTCCTCAGGAGAGTGTTTCTGTCCGGTCCCAAGGCGCTGCACGATTGATGCCTCGCACGCGGCCGCTCGTGTCGGCTTCTTGTGCTCCGGACGTGGAAGGTCGGACGGTCCCGGCCTATTGCTCTTCGTGAGGAGCCTGCTTTGTCCGATTGATTGCTCATTTCCCCCGGGTCATCCAGGGCGGACGAGCCCAACCCCCCTGGAGGCCCGGCATCGCGGACTCTCTCAAAGACTCGGGTTGCATAATCCCTGCACGTTGCACTCCCATGCCGTCATTGGTTGTCGCGCTCGCGTGAGTCATAGCGAGTAATTGGCTGATCTTGCTCGCCATTGAGCTCACAAGCGTTGTTACACTGTTGATTGCGGGGGCCCTGCATGTCACGATTGTTATTGTTCTACATTATTTGTATTGTTAGCCAGTGTATAATTGTACAGGTGGGTTTGGGTATTTGTTGTTGGAGCGTTATGTTGTATATATATTTTGTCGTTGTTTCGTTAAGGGGAAGTTGACAGCTGGGATGGCTGAATGCTATGGAGGGGGGGGGGGGGGGGGGAGTGATGTCGTGACTGGGAATGTCACTGTGTGGCCCCGGGCCTGCGAGGTCGTGGCGGGATGTATACTGTTGTGTGTACACCCCGGACACGGGGTGTAGTACCAGCCCTAGTGGGGGCTTAGGTGAGCGCTGGTTAAGCGCAGTGGCACCACGCACAGCGTGCGGTGCGGGCTCCCGTTGAGAGATCGAGAGTGTTTGCCAGCTTGGGTTACATTGGAGGCATGATACTCTGGCTGACCTGGGGACATGTGGCCAGATGATACTGGAGGGGGGCCACCGGTGGAGGGAGCCAATGAGTGGTCACATGGTCCAGGAAGAAATCTCGAGAACCTTCGGGCAAGGGCAAGAGAGATCAAAAAGGTGGGCGGGGCGAGAGGTGGAGCCAGCCCCAGCCCAGCCCAATATAAGAGGGGCCCCCCAGTGAGGGGCTTGGGGTTCTTACTGTAGGAGAGGCAGGAGATCCACGTCAATCTTGAAGAAGCCTCCAGCCACGCGGTGCAGGACCCAGCTTGTGGTCTGGACTGGGTTAGCGGAACTGTGTCTAGTTCCGCCGTAGCGTGGTTAGTTGGGTGGTCACCACTCGAGAGTATGTTGTGTTAATAGCGTGGAGTATGTTGTGCAAATAGTTTAATAAAAACGTGTGGCTCTCTAAGACAACGTCTGCGACTCACTACACATTCAAGCCGTGCCAAACCAGCTGGGCACAACTCAGAAGATACCAGGTTTGGCTTCCCACTGCAGCTGCTAGCATGCGTTTATGGCACGGGGCAAAAAAAAAACAAAGATCCCCCATATAGCCTTAACCGAATGTGAGGGCAAGTTCTGTTAGCGATCACCTACTAAGACTAGCGTGGCACACGGAGGGGGTTGGTGGTCAGCACCACACCCAATTGCCTTTGTCTCCCCAGTGGCAATGTTTTTACATATCGCATCACGTATTCATTTGAGGCCGAGTCGACCTAGGGGAGGCCAAGGACTAGTTCAGGTAATTGTCACTGGCCTTGGCCATGAGCGGGAAACTTGGGTGGCAGGGTTTGTAGTGCGGCACACGCTCACCGCTACACTCCCGCTCCCCACACGGCACGGGGACACAGTCACACATACGTAGAGATATGCTCATGCACAGTGTACACTCTCACACACAAAAATAAGTATCTCACATAGTACACACACAACAGTCGCCATTCATTACCAAGTGGCGATGACATCACCCACAGCCCTTGCACCAGGGCTAGATGCATTTTTAGGCCAAGTGAAGAGTCAAAGGCTCACCAGCAGGAAGTCATGGGAAAGAAACAGCTGTTATGGGTTGCCTTAGATGACTGGTAGATGCACCACCTGTTCCCCACTTTTCCAATTTGTTGCGTTTATGCTGCTCCGCTCGTTGTGAGCATCGCTTCTCTGCCCTCCATTGTTGTTGGAGGGCGACTGCCTCCAATTACCCAGTAGCGTCCTTCACGAGCCTCCCCAGAGGCTGATCTGGATACCGCTACATACTCCTCAACCAACATCAGTCCATCTCTTATCTAGCACATGGTGCACCTGTTTTGCCCCTCTCTCCAGTCAAACAGGGAATGTGGGCGACATGACCTAGCCAACATAGCTTGCCAGCCAGAGCACACAGATTATAGGGATTTGTCCAAATCTTTCAAGAATCTGTGAGCTCCTCACACAATCTGGTCTGATTAAACCCAAGATAGATGGTAGGGAGGTCAATCTGAATGTTTCTAGCTGGAGTAGATGTCCTTTTAAAGGGGTCCACGTTTTACAAGCGTAGAGATGGGAGGGCGCATAGCTGTGGCGGAGAAGACCCAGAGCATGTCATGCAACAGTAGGCCAGGTAACTTCCACACAGCATTACACAGCCGGTGAAAAGATGCCGCTTGACGGATTCAGAATGAGACAGCTGCCAAACTGGAGCTGGTCATAAGCACACACTGTTGTGGTGCCACGACCGCGGAGCAACTCCGCAAGCGCGCTGCGATTCCCTCCCGGCCCCCGCACTAAACACACACCCGCACGCAGTGCACCCACATAGTGTCCTGGCGGGAGATTGCCTGGCACATCGGGTTTTAATCCGAAGGGCCCCCAGACGGAGAGTCCCGGTGCCAGGAGATCGGCCGACCCTCACAGGACAGGTTACATTGCGGTGCCCCTAAATTGGCTTAAAATTGTATGGGCGCAGAAGGAAAAGGTTCACTGGGCCAACCGCAATAAGTTATTCATGACATTGGGAGAGGCTGAGGGTGGAATATTAGGCAAAAAGAGCAGACCCGTAGACTAGAACTACTGGGCACAGGAAAACAATGGGTTTTTTTTAGCGCAAATATGCTCCTGCAGGGGCGCGTGCATGCATGCCTCCGCGTTCGTTTGTGTGAGGGTGTATGTGGACGTGTGTGGGATAACCCCGGGCGGTGGTGAGTCAGCCAATCAGCCATGTCCCTCAGAAAGGGCGCTGGCGTGGGGGGGCCGATCACCCGATCGGCGGGGGCCCAGCCAGAGGCAGCCGACGAGGAGGAGGGGGGAGTGGAGGGGGTGGACGTCGCGCCCCGCCCACTCACGGGGAGCGGGGAGGCAGGCGTCGGCCCCCACTGTCCAGGTAGAGAAACTCTCCACTCCTTCCTCAATTGCCCCATGACTCAAGATGGAGAGATGAGGAGGTTGAGTATTTGATGGACATAAAATACCAAGGCAGGTGCTTTGTTTTGATGAGACAGATGGAAAGGCTTCATCTCTTAGTGGCATGCTCCAGGTTCAGCAGAAATCTCCCACTCCTTTTCAGAGTGAGCAGCAATTACAAGATCATCAACTAACATGGCTAACCAGTAAGGAGCATTCCCTTGACTGCACCCGGTCATCAATCAATCAGCCATCCACTGGATATGTACCAGACAAAAGTTCCACTGGTACAATTTTGGAAAGCTTCTCGAACTTCACAATTAAAAAATGTTAAGTGTCGGAGCAAGAGGACATTCCTGTTACACACAATGCTATACGCATTTATAAACACTCTAGGTGTGATGTCATGCATTTTCACTATCATTAGCCCAGCACCTGGCCTGACTTTGGTCACGAGGCAGATTCAGATGGCGTAGCATTGTTTGGTTCCGGCTCGGCTCAGTATTTAACCAGTGGAAAAACAAAGCATACCGTAATGGCCCGTGCTAACTAACTTGGATTTTCCAGTGAAAAGGGGTAAAAGTGGTGCAAAGTTGCATTCTAACCATCTATCCTCGAGCATGATCGCATGAAGGTTATCAGACACATGTTTCCCCAGCCCCCTGTGTTATAAAGATACACAAATTATTTAGCGATACTGAATTTGCATTGCCAGTGTAATTGACAAATGTGTTTATTGTTTTTTGCTATAAATTTGCGCTCAGTTGCCCATGAGCCAGTACACATACGTAAAGCAAAAATCCCACGCCCAAAAAGTGAGCATGCATATAGGACAAATAAGTAATAAAAATTACTGGGCCATATCCTTTCGCGTATGAAAAGTAAACCCATAAAAAATTAACCCGTAAAAACAAAGTTTTTCACTATAAATCCTTTATATGCGTGACATCGGTTTTATGTTAGTATTCATTTCTGTTTTTCTTCAGTAAGAGTTTCATTTTTATCACATTGGTATTTTACATTAAATATAAGGAAAGTCGTATATAAGGATAAGGTTTTCAGTCATTGCATGATTGTTTATATTTTACATTTTAGTTGTTTTTTTGACTAAGAAATTCATTTTCATTTGTATCACATCAGCTCGATTGGATCACGGGAAGTGGGTTAAAAAACGAGCGAAAGATTTGCACGGTCCTAAGCAAGCAAGCGAACTTAATATAAAGGATTTAAAAATATATTCGCCTGTGGAGGACGCGGAGATCGATCCCGCGACCTTTGGCATGGGAAGCGAGGGCGCTACCAACTGCGCTACTCCGCCACGGCCTGTGGAGGGGTTACGCTCTGGGCTCCTACACTGTGACGTTCAGCCAAAGCCATGAATGAGTTCTATTTAAATAAATGTAAAATACATTTTTGTTGCCTAAAAAGTATAAAATTTTTGCATTTTTTTTTCACGAACATTAATTGTCTCGCACAACGAGTCTGTGTGCAAAATGTCAGCTCGATTGGATCACGAGAAGTGGGTTAAAAAACGACCGAAAGATTTGCACGGTCGTAAGCAAGCAAGCACGCAAGCAAGCAAGCGAACTTAATATAAAGGATTTAAAAAGATTATTTGCAGAATAAAATTAAAATATTTTGACTCCCTTAAAACCAACAAAAATTTAAATGAGAATATATTGTTCAAATAGCGCGTGTACTCAACAAAAATAACCAAAATAAGTTGTTGAAATAACTTGTAAGAACATACCAGGGGCTCATCCCACGTGACATCTTCCTCCTGCTCATCTTGGTCACCGCAACCCCCCGGCCCCTCCGTAGCTGCCACATCTTCATCATCTTCCTCCTCCCTCCATTCGCCAAGAGCGCCCAGAGCTGCACCCTTCCCCTCTCCTGAGTCCTCCGCTTTAAGAGCGTGAACCGCCACGCTATCAAAGAAGCGTGGCAATTCTCTCACTTGGATCCGGCCTTCAGTGCTCGTTGGTTTTCTCTCGCCTTCCACGGGCCCTTGCCCCTGGGAATGTCAAGTGATATGGAACGAATATGAAGCAACCTACCCACATGGAGTTGAGTTGCACGAACCACTAAAGTGATGCCACCATAGGTGGTACAAAAAAGTGAAAAATTCGGTCTGGGCTCACGGACTATGTAAATCAGTAAACTAATGTAGTCCCAAGCCCTGACAGAGTGTTGTTGTTGGTGCTGCGGTGTAGACCTGTGGGCTGCACTGCTCCCCGCCGAGAGGCTCAGCCAACACCAAAAGAGCCTCCAGGGAGCCCTGCTGCTCTGTGTAGATGTCCACTTGGAGGGGCAGTGACGCTTCATTGTAGGGCACCTGCAAGCACACGACACAAAGGCACGCACACACACGGCACAAACGGATGCACGGTACAAACGTGCATGCACGGCATGGCACAAACGCGCACGCACATACACGGTACAAACGCGCACGCACACACACGGCACAAACGCACGCACGGCACAAAGGCGCACGCACGCACGGCACAAACGCGCACGCACGGCACGGCACAAACGTGCACGCACGGCACAAGTGCGAGCACGGCATGGCATGGCATGGCATGCACGCACGGCACGCACGATACAAATGCGCACGCACGGCACAAACGCGTGCACGCACGGCACAAATGCGCGCACGCACAGCACAAACGCGAGCGCGCACGGAAAAAACGCACACACGGCACACACACTTGACATTTGTTACCGGAGTCAAAGTTCTACACTATGGGGACCTCATTTGCCAGTAAAAATATGATAATTGGTTCTTTACCCTTCTATCTGGCAACAAAACTGACACCTTTTTGCAAGGAGTCATGTTTGCATAGACCGCAATACCTGCAGTCATAATACAAACAAAAGAACATAACTCTGATAATGTGCACTGTCCTTGAAGTTGATTGGTCCACACCCGAGACAGCTTTCCTTCGAGCCTAGTCTCATATGGGTTGGACCAGATGACGCCAAAAGGCGCACAACTCAAGGACAATGCACCATCAGAGTATGAGAGCTCGGGGCAAGCATCTACACTATGGGGACCTCATTTGCCAGTAAAAATATGATAATTGGTTCTTTACCCTTCTATCTGGCAACAAAACTGACACCTTTTTGCAAGGAGTCATGTTTGCATAGACCGCAATACCTGCAGTCATAATACAAACAAAAGAACATAACTCTGATAATGTACACTGTCCTTGAAGTTGATTGGTCCACACCCGAGACAGCTTTCCTTCGAGCCTAGTCTCATATGGGTTGGACCAGATGACGCCAAAAGGCGCACAACTCAAGGACAATGCACCATCAGAGTATGAGAGCTCGGGGCAAGCATCTACACTATGGGGACCTCATTTGCCAGTAAAAATATGATAATTGGTTCTTTACCCTTCTATCTGGCAACAAAACTGACACCTTTTTGCAAGGAGTCATGTTTGCATAGACCGCAATACCTGCAGTCATAATACAAACAAAAGAACATAACTCTGATAATGTGCACTGTCCTTGAAGTTGATTGGTCCACACCCGAGACAGCTTTCCTTCGAGCCTAGTCTCATATGGGTTGGACCAGATGACGCCAAAAGGCGCACAACTCAAGGACAATGCACCATCAGAGTATGAGAGCTCGGGGCAAGCATCTACACTATGGGGACCTCATTTGCCAGTAAAAATATGATAATTGGTTCTTTACCCTTCTATCTGGCAACAAAACTGACACCTTTTTGCAAGGAGTCATGTTTGCATAGACCGCAATACCTGCAGTCATAATACAAACAAAAGAACATAACTCTGATAATGTGCACTGTCCTTGAAGTTGATTGGTCCACACCCGAGACAGCTTTCCTTCGAGCCTAGTCTCATATGGGTTGGACCAGATGACGCCAAAAGGCGCACAACTCAAGGACAATGCACCATCAGAGTATGAGAGCTCGGGGCAAGCATCTACACTATGGGGACCTCATTTGCCAGTAAAAATATGATAATTGGTTCTTTACCCTTCTATCTGGCAACAAAACTGACACCTTTTTGCAAGGAGTCATGTTTGCATAGACCGCAATACCTGCAGTCATAATACAAACAAAAGAACATAACTCTGATAATGTGCACTGTCCTTGAAGTTGATTGGTCCACACCCGAGACAGCTTTCCTTCGAGCCTAGTCTCATATGGGTTGGACCAGATGACGCCAAAAGGCGCACAACTCAAGGACAATGCACCATCAGAGTATGAGAGCTCGGGGCAAGCATCTACAATTATCATATTTTTACTGGCAAATGAGGTCCCCATAGTGTAGATGCTTGCCCCGAGCTCTCATACTCTGATGGTGCATTGTCCTTGAGTTGTGCGCCTTTTGGCGTCATCTGGTCCAACCCATATGAGACTAGGCTCGAAGGAAAGCTGTCTCGGGTGTGGACCAATCAACTTCAAGGACAGTGCACATTATCAGAGTTATGTTCTTTTGTTTGTATTATGACTGCAGGTATTGCGGTCTATGCAAACATGACTCCTTGCAAAAAGGTGTCAGTTTTGTTGCCAGATAGAAGGGTAAAGAACCAATTATCATATTTTTACTGGCAAATGAGGTCCCCATAGTGTAGATGCTTGCCCCGAGCTCTCATACTCTGATGGTGCATTGTCCTTGAGTTGTGCGCCTTTTGGCGTCATCTGGTCCAACCCATATGAGACTAGGCTCGAAGGAAAGCTGTCTCGGGTGTGGACCAATCAACTTCAAGGACAGTGCACATTATCAGAGTTATGTTCTTTTGTTTGTATTATGACTGCAGGTATTGCGGTCTATGCAAACATGACTCCTTGCAAAAAGGTGTCAGTTTTGTTGCCAGATAGAAGGGTAAAGAACCAATTATCATATTTTTACTGGCAAATGAGGTCCCCATAGTGTAGATGCTTGCCCCGAGCTCTCATACTCTGATGGTGCATTGTCCTTGAGTTGTGCGCCTTTTGGCGTCATCTGGTCCAACCCATATGAGACTAGGCTCGAAGGAAAGCTGTCTCGGGTGTGGACCAATCAACTTCAAGGACAGTGCACATTATCAGAGTTATGTTCTTTTGTTTGTATTATGACTGCAGGTATTGCGGTCTATGCAAACATGACTCCTTGCAAAAAGGTGTCAGTTTTGTTGCCAGATAGAAGGGTAAAGAACCAATTATCATATTTTTACTGGCAAATGAGGTCCCCATAGTGTAGATGCTTGCCCCGAGCTCTCATACTCTGATGGTGCATTGTCCTTGAGTTGTGCGCCTTTTGGCGTCATCTGGTCCAACACATATGAGACTAGGCTCGAAGGAAAGCTGTCTCGGGTGTGGACCAATCAACTTCAAGGACAGTGCACATTATCAGAGTTATGTTCTTTTGTTTGTATTATGACTGCAGGTATTGCGGTCTATGCAAACATGACTCCTTGCAAAAAGGTGTCAGTTTTGTTGCCAGATAGAAGGGTAAAGAACCAATTATCGGAGTCAAAGTTGACAGCAAATTTAGAACAAAAAATATTCCACATTTTGTTGGCGACAGTATGGCTCGTTATAAATTAATTACATCAGAATAGTGGCCAAAAAATTACTGATAATTAAAAAACAATGTCATAAAAAACGTGGCAGTCCACTATGTATTTAAAGCAGAAGCAAGCTATTTACGATGTAAATTTGTACAGAATGGGTGTGTATCTCTTCATCAAATGTTTCTCATTCGCGTAACTGTGGCAGAAACTCGTCAAACATTTTGTTGCTATTCATCAAAATGGTTTGCACCGTGCACAATGTTTTTTTCCAGGTCTCTCTTGCAAACAAAAATAATGCATTACTTAATTGGGCTCTTCACTGAGCTGGTTTTAATCCCAGCCGGTCGTTTGCAGCAAACGGGTGTGGAACTATAGGGCAGGGGCAGGCTGAGACTAGGAGAATAGGCCTCGCTTTCCATGAAGTTCATGAAGTATGGACCTGAAGCAAATTTAAATGAGAATATATTGTTCAAATAGCGCGTGAACTTAACAAAAATAACCAAAATAAGTTGTTTAAATAACTTGTAAAAACAAAAATAAGTTGTTTAAATAACTTGTAAAAACATACCAGGGGCTCATCCCACGTGACATCTTCCTCCTGCTTATCTTGGTCACCGCTACCCCCCGGCCCCTCCGAAGCTGCCACATCTTCATCATCTTCCTCCTCCCTCCATTCGCCAAGAGCGCCCAGAGCTGCACCCTTCCCCTCTCCTGAGTCCTCCGCTTTAAGAGCGTGAACCGCCACGCTATCAAAGAAGCGTGGCAATTCTCTCACTTGGATCCGGCCTTCAGTGCTCGTTGGTTTTCTCTCGCCTTCCACAGGCCCTTGCCCCTGGGAATGTCAGGTGATATGCATTTAAGATCTCGTTATTACTTTACGATTTCATACCCCAACTCTTCAAAATATATTTAATAGACCCTAACCCAAATCATTAAACACAATTATGGAATGAATATGAAGCAACCTACCCACATGGAGTTGAGTTGCACGAACCACTAAAGTGATGCCACCACAGGTGGTACCAACAAGTCAAAAATTCGGTCTGGGCTCACAGACTATGTAAATCAGTAAACTAATGTAGTCCCAAGCCCTGTTGTTGTTGGTGCTGCGGTGTAGACCTGTGGGCTGCACTGCTCCACGCCGAGAGGCTCAGCCAACACCAAAAGAGCCTCCAGGGAGCCCTGCTGCTCTGTGTAGATGTCCACTTGGAGGGGCAGTGACACTTCATTGTAGGGCACCTGCAAGCACACGACACAAACGCACGCACGGCACAAACGCACACGCACATACACGGCACAAACGCACGCACGGCACAAACGCGCACGCACGGCCAGGCACAAACGCGCACGCACGGCGAGGCACAAACGCGCACGCACGGCACGGCACAAACGCGCACGCACGGCACGGCACAAACGCGCACGCACGGCACGGCACAAACGCGCACGCACGGCACGGCACAAACGCGCACGCTCGGCACGGCACAAACGCGCACGCACGGCACGGCACAAACGCGCACGCACGGCACGGCACAAACGCGCACGCACGGCACGGCACAAACGCGCACGCACGGCACGGCACAAACGCGCACGCACGGCACGGCACAAACGCGCACGCACGGCACGGCACAAACGCGCACGCACGGCACGGCACAATCGCGCACGCACGGCACGGCACAAACGCGCACGCACGGCACGGCACAAACGCGCACGCACGGCACGGCACAAACGCGCACGCACGGCACGGCACAAACGCGCACGCACGGCACGGCACAAACGCGCACGCACGGCACGGCACAAACGCGCACGCACGGCACAAACGCGCACACACGGCACGGCACAAACGCGCACACACGGCACGGCACAAACGCGCACACACGGCACGGCACAAACGCGCACACACGGCACGGCACAAACGCGCACACACGGCACGGCACAAACGCGCGCGCACGGCACGGCACAAACGCGCGCGCACGGCACGGCACAAACGCGCGCGCACGGCACGGCACAAACGCGCGCGCACGGCACGGCACAAACGCGCACACACGGCAAGGCACAAACGCGCACACACGGCACGGCACAAACGCGCACACACGGCACGGCACAAACGCGCACACACGGCACGGCACAAACGCGCACACACGGCACGGCACAAACGCGCACACACGGCACGGCACAAACGCGCACACACGGCACGGCACAAACGCGCACACACGGCACGGCACAAACGCGCACACACGGCACGGCACAAACGCGCACACACGGCACGGCACAAACGCGCACACACGGCACGGCACAAACGCGCACACACGGCACGGCACAAACGCGAGCGCACGGCACAAGTGCGCGCACAGCACAAGTGCGTGCACGGCATGGCATGCACGCACGGTACAAATGCGCACGCACGGCACAAACGCGAGCACGCACGGCACAAACGCGAGCACGCACGGCACAAACGCGCACACGGCAAAAACGCGCACGCACAGGGCAAAAACGCGCACGCACACGGCAAAAACGCACACACGGCACACGGCAAAAACGCACACATGGCACACACACTTGACATTTGTTACTGGAGTCAAAGTTGACAGCAGATTTACAACAAAAAATATTCCACATTTTGTTGGAGACAGTATGGCTCGTTTTAAATTAATTACATCAGAATAGTGGCCAAAAAATTACTGATAATTTAAAAACAACGTCATAAAAAAGCTAGTTTTAATCCCAGCCAGTGGTTTGCCACAAACGAGGGTGGAATTATAGGGCAGGGGCAGGCTGAGACTAGGAGAATAGGCCTCGCTTTCCATGAAGTTCATGAAGTATGGACCCTAAGCAGTAGTAGAACCCCAGTTCAGATTTTATAGGTGTTGCCTTCACCACCTGAACACACTGCTTCACTGGTGGGAATCCCCAGATAAATAAAAAAAGATCGGCCATCACAGACGAATCAATGCACTTACTGCGTGTGAGTGTGCACTTCTGTGGTAGTGTAGTGTTGTGATTAGCGAGCTGCGCTACAAACCCGGCGACCCGAGTTCACTTCCCACTTGCGACCAACACCAGTGACGATTATCTGAACCGATACTGAAATAAGTACCTGGTGCGGTGTGTTAAACATCGCCGCTAGGGAGACAAAGGTGGCCGGGAATTGTGCTGGCAACTCACCCCCTTGTGTGCCATACCAGCCTTCATAGATGGTCGTTAACAGCACTTGCCCCAACAATCTGTTAAGGCTACACGGGGGATCTTTGTCTGGTGCACTTGCGTCCAAGTTATTGGAGTCGTTGCTGATTGTAAACAAAGCCAATGCTGCAACCTGGGCAATGCAGTTGGCTGCAAAGAGGCCACGTCCATCGTGATGAATCATGTTGAGGACAATTCTCCTGATCTGTTTGCGTGTACAGGCACTTGGATACCACCGTGAAGGCTTCTCATTTTCCTTCCAAGTACCTTCAGTGTCATGCTCACAGTTTGTCCACACAGCATTCTGGAGAGGTATTCAACCACCTCGACCTTCTGTCCGTCCCCTTCATCCTGGAAGTACATTGTCACAAGACCGCCGCAGTAACCAACATATCTTATCAGCATCTTCATGAAAAATGCGGGGGCTCTGAATGTGCGCCGATGTGAACTGTTAGTTAATGTTTAACGTTCATGTTGCTGTGCTTAAAAAACAGAGAAAATATTAAGTTGTTGCTCGTACACATTATAAATACAGCATTCAAAGCTGATATACTGCACTGTAAAGGCAACCAAAATAAAATAAATCAAGACAACATGGTACATACATAAAATGTACCCATGTGCATATATACCCAATGGTCACTGAAACACGTGTGACATAGGAAATAGACATTCTACTCGGATGCAAAATACTTCAGTAGACGGTTAATAATCCATTTTCACTCGCAAAGGCTGCATCTGCACAGCTAGAGATAGCTTCCACCTACCGACACCTTCCGTATATACAAAGTGAATATCCCAAGTATAAATTTAAGCGTTGGCAATTGGAACTACTTTTGGGCGGCAGTGTATAAACCAGTAGTGCCACACTTGTCTGTTCCTCACAGCAAGCACCTGGGTGGGGGGTTCCATTCCCAACTTGGGCACCTCTCCGTGTGTGGAGTTTGTATATTCTCTCTCGATACCCTTATCCTGTATGGGTTTCCTTTGGGTTCTCTGGTTAATTCACATAAACCAAAGCGCACACAATGTAATCAAGCTCGGTGATAAGAAGGCTCAGCTAATCGAGTCTCTCACCTTTCTGAAGAGATGCCGCGACTCTAAGGTAATACCAAACGCATTTACACTAACATCTGCTGCTGTAACTTCTTCTAATACTAAACGAATTCTGTCTAGAACTAGCTTAGCTCTTATCTCAGAGAAAATCAGACTTACTCGCACCGATCTAAATCAGTTAGACAAGACACTCTACAAATCACACTTATCTTTGAGTGCAACAATGTCCACATCGGATTGGAAACATGTAGACAAAATGACTGCCTCTTCAGCTGCCTCTATGTCGACCAAATGTAAGGACAACTTGATTTCCAAATTCAACTGCCTCTCAAACAAGAAACCGGACCCACACATTGAAAAGCTAGACGTTAACAAAGTCGTAATTAATCGAAGTAACAGTTCTATTTCTGAAGGTCTGAAATCCGTTTAGCTAAAGGACTAAACTTTGCAGTCACACCTAGACACATACCAGTTAATGATATAATTGCTACAGTAGATGTAGCTCTCAAGGGCCTGAGTCACATCGCTGCAGACGTAGCAGGATCTGAAATCTCTGCAACCCTCAAAAACGCTAAGATGCCAGCTAGCAACATCAGCAAAAATGAGCGTTTTGAATTAGCTCAATTAAAAAAGAGGGATAACATTGTCATCCTCTCAGCCGACAAAGGCAATGCCACTGTCATCATGGACAAAACAGAATACAACAACTAATTTCAAGAACTACTCAACGATGGCAGCTATACAAAAATAAAAAGAGACCCCACCAACAGCCTCATCTCTAAAACCAAGCAAATCATTTCTGATTCAACCGCATTAATTGATCAGACCAAACAGTTCTCGTTGAAACCTTCTGCAGCCAGGCCACCAAGATTATACGGCTTGCCAAAGATACATAAAGAAGATACACTTCTTCGTCCCATTGTCTCTACTATCAACTCCCCCACCTATAAACCGGCTCGTTTTTTTGTTTGAAATCCTACTGCCTTTCATTGGAAAAACCACCTCTGCGGTACTAAACTCTACTGACCTGGTATCGACAATCAAGGGGATTTCCCTGTCCCCAGACGAAGTGCTTGTCAGTTTTGATGTGGTTTCCTTATTCACCAAAGTTCCTGTACCTGACACCATCACAATCATTGAATACTTGGTTCATCAAGGACTGAATGCTGGGGAACCCCCCTGGTGAGACACTGCTTAACCAATACAAACTTCACCTGGAATGGAACTTTCTACAAGCAAACTGAGGGCACCCCAATGGGCTCCCCCCTATCTCCGGTTGTAGCCAACGTCTTCATGGAGAAATTTGAGACTGACGCCATCCAGACTGGCACTCTACGCCCGACCTTATGGAAGAGGTACGTAGATGACACTTTTCTCATCTGGCCACATGGCCAGTCTGCTCTAGACCAATTTCTCGACCACATGAATTCCATACATCCAGCCATCAGATTCACCATGGAAGTCGAAAAAGATGGCAAGCTACCCTTTTTGGATGTCCTAATTAAAAGGAGACCTGATGGTTCAATGAGCCACTCTGTCTACAGAAAAGCCACCCATACAGATGCTTACCTAAAACCAGATTCCCGCCACAATCCATCCCAGAAAAATTCCCTCATCAAGACTCTATACCATAGAGCCCAATGCATTTCCGACCAGGAACACATTGCCAGTGAACTCAAACACGTACGCCAAGCTCTTAAGGCTAATGGTTACTCCGACTACACAATCCGCAAGGCCATCACTCCAACCATCAAGAAGGATCCTGTTGAGGAGCCTTTCAAGACCATCACCTTACCCTACATTGCTGGGGTCACAAAAAAGATCTCCAAAATCCTGATTAAACACAAGATCCAGGTCCGTTTCAACACAGTACATAAAATCCGTGATCTGGTCCCGTCTGTAAAGGATGTGGTTCCAGACACACAGTACCCTGGCGTCTACAAACTAAGTTGCCTCTGTGGTAGCAGTTACATTGGAGAAACCAAACGACATGTCTCGGACCGCATCCGTGAACATAAAGCAGACTTGAAACACGGTAGGACAAACACCTCAGCCGTGGCAGATCACTGTTACAATTCAGTGGGCTCACATGATATTGACTTCTCCAAGACAGAGGTTCTCTGCAAGCCATCTGGCTACCATGAGAGATTCGTTCATGAGGCGATCCACATATACAAACACGGAGACAATTTCACCCGAGAAGATGGATTCTGGCTTAGCAATCATTGGAAGGACGTAATAAACCATTTCGGATCTTAACTGATTGTGTTCACGTTTACGGTGACTTTCAGACCGCGTGCCGCTCACTGGCATTGTATTCTCCGCAGGAAATTGATTCTTTGCTCTGCTACTCTCCCATTGACATATTTCGTTGCTTCCTCTTAGTATCTTTCACACGACGGTCAATGGTACAGTGTATAATAACAAATAGTATAACATTTATATGCTTGATAATTGGTTCTTTACCCTTCTATCTGGCAACAAAACTGACACCTTTTTGCAAGGAGTCATGTTTGCATAGACCGCAATACCTGCAGTCATAATACAAACAAAAGAACATAACTCTGATAATGTGCACTGTCCTTGAAGTTGATTGGTCCACACCCGAGACAGCTTTCCTTCGAGCCTAGTCTCATATGGGTTGGACCAGATGACGCCAAAAGGCGCACGTGCGCCTTTTGGCGTCATCTGGTCCAACCCATATGAGACTAGGCTCGAAGGAAAGCTGTCTCGGGTGTGGACCAATCAACTTCAAGGACAGTGCACATTATCAGAGTTATGTTCTTTTGTTTGTATTATGACTGCAGGTATTGCGGTCTATGCAAACATGACTCCTTGCAAAAAGGTGTCAGTTTTGTTGCCAGATAGAAGGGTAAAGAACCAATTATCATATTTTTACTGGCAAATGAGGTCCCCATAGTGTGGATTTATATGCTTAATACAATGTACAAAGTAATATATAGTATCGTAATTGTATAGTGAATATATAGCAGTGTGATATACATTAGGGTAGGTAGAATAATACGTAGTGTTATATTACAATGTATAAGGTATAGGGTGGTTTATAGCAATACAGTATATCATTTAATGTTG